CGAGAAATGGTCGAGTTTTTTCACACACACAAAAAAAGGCATGCCCGACATAACCAGCGCGAAAAGAAAAAAGCAAAAAAGCAAAAAATCCGAGATCATCACACTCACAATAAGACGGACCATAACTATTTCACAGAGGGTCCGTTTCCCGGTTAGGAACAATAAGAAAGCTCCTTTTTAAAAGGGATAATTTGAAAAATACCCCCATAAGTTGAGATAGACTCCAAAATGGCCCTGCTGGGCATCCGAAATCTTTGTGTTGTGCCCCTTTTGGGCCTTGGCCTTGTGCAATAGCGCCTAGGAAAAGTTGGCAAGTACAGGGGCTTCCTGCACAGTTGGAAGGTACCCGGTAGGGGTATATTGCAAAGATGGGGGTTTAACCAACGCCAGGGGTATTTCACAAAAAAATAAATTGTCAGAGGGGCTTCGGCTCTACCCACATCTTTTAAAGGCATTTTGACATATATCTCAACTAACGGGAATATTTTGTTTCGTTTCCCTGTTAACCTTTTACCCCCAGGCGGCTACTTACCAGCGGTCAATGCGCACCATCCCCGTTAAAAAAAAAAAAAAAAAAAAAAAAAGCAAGCTAATTCCTCTCGTCGGAACTACCTGTGCTGTTTCCTCTCCTCGCTCGGACTTACCGAGGGTAATTTCGTTTCCCTCTTAACTTATTAACCCCAGGGGCGAGGTCCCACTAGCAAAGTGGATTGGATAAATGCCCTGAAGGTGGACGTGTTTTAAGCAGAGATGCAGAAAGCAGTTCAATCTCGATTTTGTGCACCTTTCCACAGAAGAGTCCAGATTCAGCCTTTCAATCCAATCCTCTTTGCAAGTGGGACCCCGCCCCAGGCGTCTACTTACCAGTGGTCACTGCGTACCATGGAATAACAGAAACGGGAAACTACGCGGGAGTCAGAAAAAAAAAGAGTTAAAAAAAATAAAATACACTTCGAGCAAAAAAAAACAGTTTCAAATTGCACTTCGGGCAATGTATACAAGCTAACTTTCCGGTCAGGTGGGGTCGAGTCGAGGTGTGTTGTGTTCAAGGGAAGGTCGGAAGTGCAATTTCAAACTGTTTTCGTGACTGAAAAAAAAAAAAAAAAAAAAAAAAAAAAGCTAATTCCTCTCCTTCGAATTACCAGCGCTGTTTCCTCTCCTCGGAATTACCGAGAGTAATTCCGTTTCCCCGTGCGTAACGTTTTACCCCCAGGCGTCTACTTACCAGCGGTCAATGCGCACCATCCCGGAAAAAACTTCTAAAAAGTAGAAAAAAAAAAAAAAAAAAGAAGCTAATTACTTACATTCCTCGGAATTACCGAGAGTTCATCCCCTGTTAATCTTTTACCCCGAGGCGTCTACTTACCAGCGGTCAATGCGTACGATGGACTTAGAATGCTAGCGCCGCAAAAAAACCCGGTATCAGAGCGATCTTCGATAACCATGGCCGCTTGAAATGCAAACTGCGTAGCTATGGTGGGCTCTCCTGCAATGATCGGTAGAGGAGCTGCCTGCGGAGGAAGACGACGGCGTGCATCGACCGCGCAAACACCGAAGAAAAAGAGGAGGAAGAGAAGGAGGGAGAGAGAGTTATAGCGGAGAAGAAGAGTGCGAAAATGGGCACCGAGCTGAAAAAAAGGCGGGAAACGAACATGAAGACGGCGGTATTCTGACGATTCCCCCCCCAGCAGCTTCTCCGCAGCTGCAGCAGCGCCATTGCCAGCCAGCAAGTTTCGCTGTCCCGCGGGAGCTGAAAATGAAGGCGGGAAATCAATATGAAGGCGGGAAATGAACATGAACGCGGAAAATGAGCATGAAGGCGGGAACTGAAAACGCATTCGGCGGGAGAGCATGCGCCGTGCGCAAAACTCCCGCCGCCGCCGCCGCCCATCGTCGTCTAGGTCGAGAATTGGCGCCATGTCCTCGTTGAAAGTCGCGCGCGCCCGCCCGCCGGCCGCCTCCGTCGCCTCGCCCCGCCCGCCCCCCCAGGAAAAAAAAAAAAAAAGGCCGCCAAACTGACGGACCTCCCGCGCGATGGTTTTCGTTTCTTCGTTTCTTCGTTTCTTCGTTTCTCTCCCGCTTCTTCTCCTTCCTCTCCCCGGGCAGAAAAGCAGAGAGCGAAAAATTCTGTACTGAAAAATTGTGTACTCTCCGTCGGCTCGGCGGGACACGCGTTCACATTGGAACGATAGAGGGAGAAGATGTATCATATATCTAGGAATGCGAGCATGGCTCCCGACTGCGGAAGCAAGACGAGCACTTCTTTTTTTTCTTTTTTCTTTTTTTTCAGTTTGTTCTTTTTCTTTTTGTGCTATACTTCGCTCAAATATTCTTCATCTCTCAAAATTTTTCATCATCTTTTTTTTTTTTTTTTTTTTTTCCCATCTATCTCATTCTTCTTGCTAGTACTCATCTATCTCATCCTCTCACTAGTCTATGGGCTAGGTCCCACTTACACGAATTAAGAGATCTTGACCGTTGATTGCAAAGATCAACGGTCAGAATCTCGTAATCCGTGCAAGTGGGACCTTGCCCTATGTCTTTTTTTTTTTTTTTTTTTTTGACTTGCCCTATGTCTTTCAAATTGTTCAATTCAGTACCTACCTACCACTACCTCCTACATGTCGTGAGGGTCCCAAAAAAAAAAAAAAAAAAAACATGTAATGAGGGGACCGCTGCTTCGTGTTCCTTTGTCTTTTTTTTTATAAATAAAAGGGCGGCGGTACTCTGGGCCGAGTAGTCAGACTCTGCTCATGACGAGCATGTTACTGGAGATCGGCATCAAGCAGAGTCTGCTGATGTTCGTAGGGGTGGGGACCACCACCTGGGCCGAGGTCACACGAGCAACGGGGATAGAATCAAGATCCTGAATCTGGATGTGGTTTATGCAGAGATGCAGAAAAGCAGTTCAAATGACGCCGGGCCCGTTTCCCGGCTTTGATAGAAATAAAGGGTCTTATCCCACCACCACACTACGCAAGTAGTGACGAAAAAGCACTACAATAGTGTCAGCGTCAGCTACGGGCCCGGCTACAGAAATCGGATCCCACTACACCGACTTCCTCGGTGGTTTTCCTGGACCCGCGGCCACTTTCCATGGGCTGCATTTTTAGGGCGGACATTTACGGCCAGACGACATGTCACACACGCATGTGGACCTCGGACGTTCCTAATGGGCTGGACGGACAACTTTAAAAAAAAGCACAAAAAAAAAGTGTTCCCTCTTTTTCGCGGCCATAGTAACTTTGCTCGAGCCCTTCGCCGGCGTGCTGCCACAACATTCCAACACGAAATGCGTGCAAAATATTTAGGCGAACTCCACAACCGTAGTGTAGTGGTGGGATCCCGAAACTACAGTGTAACACGCTGTGGGATCCCAAAACTACAGTGTAACTGGGCTGTAGTGTAGTGGTGGGATCAGACCCAAAGACTGATCTTCTCAAAAAAAAAAAAAAAAAAAAAAAGCAGTTCAATCTCAATTTACTGCACCTCTCCGCAAACATGTCCAGATTCAGGCATTCGATCCAATCCACTTTGCCAGTGGGACCACGCCCCTAAGGTGAGGCACAGGGATTGGTCCTGTTGGCGTCGTCCCTGATGCTACTGGTATCGCCCACCTGCAGCTGGGGTGCAGCTTTTTTTTTTTTTTTTTTTTTTTTTTTTCCCGGGGGGATTGCAGCTTCTGTGTTCTCTCGTGGAGACTGTTGTGGCTGCTACGGGGTTCCCCCTACGACTATAATATAATTAGTAGTAGTACTACACGATGTACCAATGGGATGCTGGACCCGGTTTCCAGCAGGTGCCGCTCCCAACCAATAGATGGAGCAGCCCGACAGGTAAGCCCTCAATTCTGAAGGTTCTCTTACCACCGCCAGGATCGAGGGATATCATATGGGCCATTCCCAAAAAAAAAAAAAAAAAAAAAAATAGTAGTAGGTATTGGGCCTCGCCACACCTATCCCGAAAACGCAAAAAAGTTCGGGAGCACTCCCAAGCGCGGGAGATGTGAAAAAACCCTTTCGAGAGGGCTCGTCGCCACACTGCGCTCTCCAAGGCAGCAGTCTCCAATTCGTCAGACGAGGCCCGACATGTTTTGGAGAGCGCACCTCTCTCGAAATGTGCAAAATGAGAATGAACTTCCCGCTAGAGCATGGCCAGATGCACCCGCCACATTTTTGTCTTTTTCACATTTCGAGAGTGGTGTGGCGAACCCAGACAAAACGGTGGCAACAGATGGTTGTCGGCCGAGGCGCACTCTCCAGTTTGGGGCCGAAATCAGAGGAGCCTCGGACCACTCCTCAAATCCGGTGCTTTGCAGGCGGGGCGAGTTGGTGTGGCCATGCCACTTCTCTCCAAATCGCTGTTTTGGAGATAGGTGTGGCGAGGCCCATTGAGACAAAAAAGGAAACAAAAAACATGATCGAGTTGACCAGCCCCCCCCCAACCCAATCCCTCCCCTCCCCCCCACCCCCCCTCCAAAAGAAAAAAAAATAATAATAATAAAAAAATCATTCCACACATCGAGCTCCATCAGCACTTTATTCTTCTTCGTATTTCAGCAGTTCAGCTAGGGCCTGGCATCCCTTACAAACCTGTTCGTGGTCCCACTAGCAAAGAGGATCGGATCGGATACCCGAATCTGGACGTAATTGTGGAGAGGTGCAGGAAATCGAGATTGAACTGCTTTTCTGCACCTCTGCATAAAACTCATCCAGATGCAGGAGCTTGATCCTATCCTCTTTGCTAGTGGGACCTCGGGCCCGCCGCTGACATCACGGGACTCAAGCCAAACTGTGAAAGGTAAGGGACGCCGGGCCCGGGGCTAGGTCCCACTTGCAAGAATTAGAATCAAGCCATATTGACCGCAGATAACAAAGATCAACGGCCAGATTCTCCTAATCCGTGCAAGTGGGACCTTGCCCCCGGTTCCCGGCTGTTTTGTTAGAAAAAAAAAAACAGTTCAGATTAGGGCCAGATCCCACTGGCAAAGTGGGTTGGAAGAAGTGTCTGAACCTGGACGTGTTTCCGCGCAGAGTGCAGAAAAGTAAATCAATCACAATTTTTCGCTCCTGTCCAAAACCACGTCCACATTCAGACACTTACTACAATGATCCTCTTTTTTTTTTTTTTTTGAAGAAGAAGAAGAAGAAGGAGAAGCTCCATTCTATTCGTGGGGAGCAGCACGTGTTGGGAAGCGGGCCCACGTGTTAGGAAGCGGGCCCAACGTCCCTTATACAAAACAATTGGGGCCGGGGTGCCCACAGTCTACCCGGGGCCAAGTCCCAAGTCCCACTAGCAGCGTTGAGCTACCTCAACGCCTGAATCTGGACGCTTTTGGGGAGATGTGCAGAAATGGTGTTGAGTCTCCACAAACATGTCCAGATTCAGGTGTTGAGGTAGCTCAACGCTGCTAGTGGGACTTGGCCACCAGATAGGAAACTTCATCAAGAGATTCACAAGCAATAACTAGTTTAAGAATATGAAACGCGGTGGACAAAGCCTGAAGAATTATTGTATCCTATGGGGTGGGGACCAGAGTTTACCTGCCGGCCTTCTCACCTACAAGAGCTGCCTGATCTGCGTTGAGAACTAGGCCCAGGGGTAGAATGGTCCCAAAGAATTTCTGAATAATGCATCTTTTGGCCTTCCGAGATCCCTGCCCATTGAAAGGGGGCGGACCATTTCTTCTGAAAAATAGCTAAAGCTACTTCCGTGGAAGAAGCTTGATTTTTAATCCTAATCCACTCAGCCATAATAACTCATCTCATCTGCTGTTTAAACTGGGCTAAGAGAGTGGGGAGAGGGGTCTTTGTGTCCAGGAATCTGCGGTCTCTTCTGGCTAACCGCAGTGACCAAAAGACTATGTCCCTGAAAACCGGAGTTATCTGTTCTATCTGTTGCTTATGGAATTGTGGTACAACTCTGCCTGTGATAACCAAGTCCAATGACCAGAAATTTCGTACACTATAAGCCTGAAGCCAAAGTTTATTGAGAAAGTCACAGAATCCCCTGCCAATGACACATTCCCACCACAGGTGCAGCCAATCTTCCAAGGACTGGTGACGGCAAACATCACATGTTGTGGTGATATCCATGCCTTTCGCCGAACACCACATAGCAGTAGGAACGCAAGAATGCAAGTGCAGCCACTGAAGGCCTCCTACTTTAGTCTCTAATGATGAGAGGATGAGGTGGATGGAAAATAGAACCCATTTGGGGGATATCGAGGGTAGTTTTAAAGACGAGACCTTATGCTGCCAGTTCATAGATAGCTCAGCCTGCAGGGATTGAGGTTCTGAATGAAGAGCATAACCAATCTTCGCAGAGTACTCTGGGGCGAGGTCCCATTAGCAGTCGGATAGGAGTGTGCCCGATCCAGTGTGACAAGTTCATTACGAATTTCTGGGCTGAGAAAACAGGAAAAAGGCCAAAAAAAAAAGATGAAACAGAGACCTCCCACCGGAAATCACAGCAGTGTGCTTCCCAGCCATCAGATCACAAATGATCTGATGGTGGTGGTTGTGAAACAGTGAACAAAGTAACCGCCACATTTTCTGGAATAAACTCGACTTCTGACAGCAGTGATCCTGACACCCTCCGTATACTCCGTGATTGAAGGAGGGCTCCACCCAATGAGATAATTGCACAACAGCAAGTAAAATGCTGAAAATCTTCTATCCAGTGGGCTAAGGCCGACCCCAACCTCGTTTGGGGTTGGCCACAGCCCCAACCGATTGAAAAGATTCTGGCTTTTGCACGGGCATGCCCAGTGTTAAGGAGAGGAGGAGGGGAACGAAGATCTCCTTTTATTTTTTCGGGTAATACATGTAAAATACTGATGGTGGGACCACCAGTAGTGCACGGCAGGATTTGGGTCACTCAACTGCCCCACAAACTCGTTTCTATCCTATCCCGTTGCTAGTGGGGCCTCGCCACTGGTATAGAGGTTTTCTTTTGGATGCCCAGATTATCTTTTTATTTTTCTATATTCTTCTCTCAACTTCTGTTTTTGCCTTTCACTACCTACTCCTAAGGCTATCTAGAGGGGACCCCTGCAAGCATAGTGTCCTCTCACTGTGAAGGGGAGATTTCATGTTGCCCCTTGCCCCTAATGTTTAGGGTATAGGGTTGGGGCCGCCAGTGGGGGT